AGGTCGCTGCGTTGCTGGTACGCAACAGCCATCCACTGAAAATGTACTTGAAAAGTTTAGATTGTTTTGGGGGGAACTGGGTATTAATGGACTTGTACCTGCCTTGTTAGAGTTCTTGCATTCTTGAACTGAATTTCTTCTCTGGAGTGTCATGTGAGGAAAGATGCACAAACTCTGTAGTCTTTTGCCTTGATTATAAATCACTGAAAATAAAGGCGTCATTGCTTTTTTATATTCACAATGACACAATAAAGTCTAATATCTGTTAATAGTTTGATGTGGTACCTAAAATAAACCAGATTCCTTGCCATCAGAACCTAAATCTGACCTTGTATTTTATTAAGGCCTCAGTTCTTTTCCCTTGGCCTCAGGGAAGACTGAAGAGATAAATCTAGTGATAGACATTTCACAGTTCGTAAATAGATTGTGTTCTTTCTGATCTCTAACTCTGGCAAAATAAAGGTGGTTCAGAGAAGTAATCTGTGTTGCATTGAAGAGTTGTGTGCTCAAGAACTGAGGAAAATTTAGACCTGATTCTGATCTGTACAGGAGTTTCTCATTCCTGGAGCTTGTTTCTGATTTTGTGAATATTCCAGAAGCTTTGGTCTACTGGGATCATTATTTAACAGCAGGATTTCATGTCTGGTTACTACTTAGACTTTATCTGCCAGCCAGCGGTGGGAGAAAGCCCATTACCATGTGGATCAAGTCTCATCTTGTGGTGGAGCGGCATGTACCGGAGTCATCTGCAACAACCCAGAAATTGTCACTGTTGGAGAAGATGGTAGAATAAATCTCTTCAGAGCTGACCAAAAGGATGCAGTAAGAACTATAGGTATGTCAGATGACTCCGTTCAAATCAGTTTATTTTGAAGTGGTTGGTTTGGGTTTTTTTAGCTTCTTGAATGATAACAACAAAAACAAGGTCAGTTGAGAATTGAATTAAATATTCAAAGTTGAATGTGTTTGCTCCAGACCTGACATGTATGTCAGATGTATTTCTATATTGTTTCAGGTACTTAGAAGGTAATGTTTTAACTGGTGGAGAATTTTCGAGCCTAATGTTCTCTGTGGGCTTCTGTTTCATTTAGAATTGTTAAATGCTAAATGTTAGGTTTCAAGAAGCATTGTGTCCCAAGTTCTTCATAATTAAGAGGTCAGTGAAATGGTCATTTCCATTCATTATTTCTACTAAGATTAACCCTCATGGGGTCCATATACAAAAACATGTTTCTTTTGAGTCTGAAGGAACAAGAACCATAAACCACTGTTTGTATCCTGTTCTTCTGCCAGGTGTGGCTTACAGTGATCATTTCTCCCACAGTGGAAAAGCTCCGTATTTCCTAGAGTAATAGATTATGTGATAGAGCAAGATGTTTTTTGAAAAGTGTCAAAACTTGGGTATTCCAAACTCTTCTATCCTGCTAGTCTTATGAAAACGGAATACAAGTTTGTAGCATCTCGTGGAAATGAAACTTGGAAGTGGAAATAATTTAAAGGACAGTGACACCCTGTTTGATAGTGGCATTATTAAACTAGGACTTTCTCCCTGAAACTTCAGATTGACAGAGCAACCCTGCTTCTCAAGCAAAATCCTTCCTCCAGCAGATGAAGGAATTTACACAGTGATAAGCCAGTTAAGGAAGGAAGAGCTTTGGGATTTTCAGGAAGGTACTTGTGTGTGCATGGCTGTATATACACACACAAGATAAATCCTATTAATTGCATACAGCCCTTTACTGAAGCTTCTTGACAGTTTCTGTACGAAACTTTTCTATGCTTTTTTTTTTTTTTTTAAAAAGAAAGTAGCAAACTTGGGGCAGATTTTATTAGTGCATGCACACAAAACCACATTAACTTCCTCTTTGAGGGGTGAGAACATTAGTTTTAAAGAATTGTTTTATTTTTAATTTTTGGTTACATATGGATACTAACACAGAGTGTTCTAGTACCAGTTTAATAGAGTAGAATGTTTTGCTGATTCCCAGGAAGCAGATGTCCCTAAAGCCCCCTCTGTTTTTTTTCTGGGCAATTGCTAGGATGCTTAGATACAGATGTAGTAACATGCAGAGTGCATGTTGTTGGTTTTCTTGGCGCTCACGTAATAGTACTGGTTTAAGTGCTTGTTGCTTTGTAGTGGTAGCATCAGCCAGCGTTGCGCTGCAGTAAGACTCTGCATTGAGATTTGCTGACACAAGCATTTAAGAAATCACATGTGAACTAATTGAGAAACGTCCTTTTGGAATTGGGAAGTATTAAAATAGGAGTGTTCCATAAATAACTCAGTCATACCTATGACCTGGTAAGTGAAATTTACCTGGATTTATGTGGAAGGCACTAGCACAAACTCACTGAATAGACATGTTTTACAGTAGAAGATGGAGAGGGAAGAGAAAATATCTTGGAAGGTGCTTTCGGGTTCTTCAGGGTGGAGTTCTACATTGTAAGCAGTCCTTTGTACTGGTTCCCAATTCAGTGACATATTGACATTTCTCAAGCACTGAGCTGAACCCTCAGTGTGTTTTGACTTGAAGATAGAAGAACTCTTGTGTCATGAAATATTTGTAAAGGAGTACCTTGCTATTTTTGTATTGTTTAATGGATTTAAGAGTATAATCCAAATCTTTGATTTTGATCAAATCTTTGAAGTTGATATGTTTGTAGTCAATTGTGGTAGAAAAAAATCTCCACAGTTAGAGATGATGTAAAAATATTTGGGAGTCATAAAGATATATCATTGCTAAATGACTTGCTGTTATTCTCCTGCAAAAATTTTAAACCCTTTAGAACGTCAGTGTTCAGTAATCTAACATTTCTTTTAAAAGGTGATTTTAGTGTTTTTTTTCCTTCCTCTTGGCTTTCATTTAAATAGCAGGCAGAAAAGAAAACTCATTCAGGTATCTGTAACCAGGCATCAATGTAACTTGTCTCTCTCAGTATCAGAAGAGGTTTCCACCTTATGCAGCACAAAATTCACCTGTATTTGCAATATGGGTTTACACAAAGTATTTTAAAATACTTGAGGTAAAAGTAGATGTAACAATGTTACCCAATCATGTTCAGAATGAAAAGTTTATATATAATAACAGAATGAAAATATAAGAAAATGGCATCTCTGCGTTCTCTCCTAAAGCATCAAAAGTTTCCCCTTAATGCTGTGAAGTGTTTGACGCTGTAAATTATTGTGACCAAAAGAAGCATTGGAGAAAGGGACCTGCAAAAAGCTTTGCCATTTAGTTATTAAGCTTAACAAGTGCTTGACAGATCTTGGAAAAGCTCTAAAGAAAGTGAGTTAAGTGCTTCTGTATACAACTGCTTAATGTTCTCAGCTAGAGGAGTTCTTTCTTCTGTTCAGAACTGCACTGTGGAAAGCTCCATAGCTTGTCTTCTGTCAGTAGATACAGAGCATGTAAAGAGAGCTTCTGAAAACTGTGGACTTGCTAAATTCATTCATCTTAGGAACTATAGCGAGAAATCTTAGGGATCAGCAAGTAGCTCTGTGAGCAGGGAGGCTAATTGAATACAGCTTCCTAGAGATTTGTCTCAGGAGTGTTTGATATAGGAAGCAAGAGTTCCTTTGTCAGGGGTACCCTTCAATGATTCAACATTCACGTGACACTGGCCTGTCTCTGCTCCTGAAAATGCAGAGAGTTGGAACCATGTTTAGAGAGGTGTGTTCTGTTTTCTGAAAATTTGTGTTATTTTGTTGTCATTAAATGGAGACTAGCATTCCACAGGTTTCCCTGAATGCTTTCCTCATCTCTCTGGCAGACAATGCAGACAGCAGTACGCTCCATGCAGTGACTTTTCTTCGCACAACTGAGATCTTGACAGTAAATTCAATTGGACAGTTAAAAATATGGGACCTCAGACAGCAAAGAAATGAACCATCTCAAATATTTTCTTTGTAAGACCTTTTTTACTTTTTAAGTATTTACTGAGAAGTATGTGCTTCTTTATATAAACTGATGTAAATCTTTCTTGATGCCTTCTTGACAGTGGGATTGATTTTTTTTTTAAGCTTTTTAACTTCTTTGGTCTTTAAATAATAAAAAGCAGATTCTGCTTAATGGCTGAATTACTACTGTTGCTGAGCAGTGTATTTAGATGGTCTGTTTTACGCTTTAACTCTTGAAGGATTATTGCACTTTTGTATTGGGTATTTCTTAAGGAAAACCAACCAAGGAAACAAACAAAACAAACCAAACAAACAAACAAAACCAACAACAACAAAAAAACCAAACAGACAAAAACAAACAAACAAACAAAAAAAAAAAAACAAACCCAAAAAAAAAAAAACCAAAAACAAAAAACCAGAACAGTCCTCAATCCAAAACTCACTCTCTTTCTCTAATTAAATACACTTTATATCTGGTTTTCTCCACAGGCCTGATATAAAGTTTTTGGCATTTGAAATGTCTTTGCATGATAACTTTGTGCCTTACAAGGTATTCTGAGAGAACAAACTGAACTAAATTCAAGTGCTGTTGCTGTGGAATAGTTCCCATTAACAGGCTGTGGTTTAGCTACGTGGTTCTGTTAGTGCCCAGTCTCCCTCTGTAACTCTCGCTGTATGTTGAAACCATGCTTATAACATGAATTTCAGAATAACCTTCATATTATTGTAAGTGTACTTAGAGCATTATCTGTATGCAGGTTTTTCTCACTGCTGTGAAGCTCTCAGATACTGTGTAGATGTCTGTATGCCACGGGGCACAGAACCTGATGCTCCTCCAGTTGTAGCTTCATGTCAATGCCATACCTCTAATTTCCAGTGGATGTCATGTGGCTTCAGCCTGCAGTGACCAGACACGACAGGCACTGGAGCTGCAGTCGATATCATTACCTTGTTCCTCAGTGCTTCGAGGGATTAAGGAGGAGAAAAGACAGGCTGAATAAAGAATTCATGTTTGGGTGTTTTTTTTCTTCTCCCTTGCAGGACAGGTGACAGAGTTCCACTGCACTGTGTGGACAGGCATCCCAATCAGCAGCACATTGTCGCCACGGGGGGCCAGGATGGGGTGCTGAGTATATGGGACATCAGGCAGGGTCCTATGCCAGTGTCCCTGCTAAATGCTCACACAGCAGAAAGTAAGTATCTGAAATGGAGGGGGGTGAAGGAGGTGGCATTTTAGAAAAGCTGTAATTTCTGTAAAAAAGGTAGGTGTTGAAGCTGCAATAGAAAACAATCACTTAGTTGCTACGTAGTGTGTTTTCATCCAGTTGGCTTCAGTTTGTTCCTTCTCTGTATAGGAGACTGTTCTTTGCTAAAAGCCAACTATCTAAACTAAAGCTAGACTTAGTAAGCAGCTCTTTGATGAGTCACTAGCTGTGTTTAATCACAATGGCCTGTGTGTCTAGAAGGGTATGTCTCTAAATAGTCGCAGAAATGGACGCTGGGTTATGTGGGTATAGTCAAGGAAGATGCAGTTACTAACAAACTTGAACATATACGGAAGGAGGGGAAACTGGAGGTACTACAGATCCATTTGGTGCCTCTACAATGCTGAAACAGCTCACTTCCCTGGTAAACTCAAAGGAATAAGATAGCAATTAATTTTGTGCTGAAAATTTGACTTGATGCCACAATTATATTAAGGGAGTAAGAATATTTCTTGAGATGTTAAGTTTTACTGACTTCAATTTCTCTTCCACAGTTGTGGTATTTAGACACAAAATAATAATGTGTGCTGGGAAGGAATGCATGCTGTGTGCAGATTTAAGCTCAACAGTAGGGAAGATGGCATGAGAAAGTATTCAGAATGCCTGAATTAGAGATAAGATTTCAACCTTTAACAATTTTCGTGGTACTGAAAATGCAACAAAACAGGCTCTTTTTTCTTTCTCTCCCAGGGGAGGGAAAACTGCAGTAAATAGTTAACTAAGGATGGGGTTTTGGGTCTCCCACCCACACACTTCAGAAAGGAAGTTTTTGGTGGAGTTCTTTTAAGTGCATGTCCACATGGTACTACTAGCCAAAGCATACTGAGTGAAGTACTTGATACTTGTTCTGAAGTGCTTTTGTTTGACTTTTGGTTTGATGCTGCCAGTGTGGGAAGTTCACTTCCATCCCTCCAAACCCGATCACTTATTTACGTGTTCTGAAGATGGATCTCTTTGGCACTGGGATAATTCCACAGATGTATCTGAAAAACCATCTTTTCTTCATCAAGGTAAGGATGTTTTGAAGTCAGTCTGTGCTGAATTTATCAGTTAGCAACATAATTAACATCGACGTTCTCACATGACCCAATTAATAACACAAACCTAATATAAACAGTTAAAAGCTGCTTTCTTAGAAAGAAAGCCCCGATAGGTTCAGGAAAACCACTTAGAAGGCAAACAGTTGTGTGAGGTTTTTATGGTCTAATTTTTTGTTGTTGTTGTTGTTCGTTTGTTTGGTTTTGGTTTTTTGTTTTTTAAATCTGTTGTACTCTGTCCAATGTGAAAGGGCACATATAGGGTTTCAGAGACAGTGTTCACCTAACAATCATCTGTATATAGAAAAGACACGAGTGCAGCCTAAATATGTTACTGTCTGAGTCTCTCAGGGAGATACCAATTATTTTTGTATTACAACATTCTGTATATGTTAATATGGTAGTGGAATTATGTATTTATTTTTCAAGGTCATAATTGGAACTTTCAATGAATGAAACTGGATCCCTTTGTATTGCAGCAGGATTTTAATTAAAGTTAGGATACTGATTTCCTATCATCATTTTCACATTCTAGTTACAAAGACTGCCTAATTGCTTGCCACTTCAGACTGAAAGCAGTGGGGAGACTTTCAGCTGTCATCTTCTGACTCTGGCCTGAAAATTACCATTCAAAACTCAGTTCTTTAATAGGGAAACAATAGGATAACTGATTCAAATTGCATGTTTTCAGGTATATTAAATATAAACACTTTAGCACCACTTCATCTACTTGATAATTTTATGCTGAATGATAGTTCTCAAACCGTGAGACCAGTTTGCGTGTAAAATGTTACATAGAAAAAAATCTTAAATCCAGGTGTATCACTTGCTGCAGAATAAGGAGAGAGAAGGGGCAGCATGGATTTAGTGCTATCAAAGCAAAGCTGGTGCTCCAAATATAGCAAGACACTGTGTGAATAGACTTTTATTCTTAGGTCTGTCCTAGTTTTAGTCTCTGCCTAGGAAAACTTGTAGCTACTTAGGCTGTTTGTTCAGCAAAGTGAGTTCATAGATGTTCTGACCTGTTTGTCTTAACTGAAGACAAAGCTAGTAGCAGGTTTCTGTAATCACTGCAAGTACATTGTGTTGTTTTTTTTTTTCTTAAATCTATTTTTTCTTTCATTTCCTGAAGAGAAGACAACATCAGTTAACTAGCCTGAAAACTCACTTAAATACAAAACGATATATTATGTTTGTCCTATACCTATTGTGTTTCCCCAAATTCTAAGAATAATATAAACTAAATTGGAACTTACTTCCCTTTCTTCTCTCTTTCCA